GGTACTGTTGGTGGTGAACCACTCTCTAACTTGGTTTGTTCTGTGGAAGCGAGCATTGTCCCAAATTATGACATAAATGTGATGTGCGGGCCCAGGATGGTGTTGTTGGCGGTCCAGAAGGATGTCTTTTATCTCCTCTATGAAGGTGAGGAGACGATGGGTGTTGTAAGACCCAAGGACAGCAGGCTGGTGGACAAGCCCCTCCGAACCCATAACCGCATAAAGAGTAATATTACACCCCCCCATTGGCCAGGAACCTCAGTGATGGCTCTTTGACCAATGATGCTACAGCCAGTTTGCCTTTGTTTCTGCAGGTTGAAGCCAGCCTCATCCAGGAAGAGGTACTTATGAGGTCTGGCCATTGCGTCCAACAGTAATATCGTCTGTGAAAATGTGAAAGCGCACAGGTGTTCAGAACAACCCTCAGTCAGGTAGCACAGTATTGTCCAGAAGTAATGTAGGCCACTGAGCAACACAGTATGTCCACCAACTGTATTATGAACATGGATGTATACATAGGTCTTTGTGTCACGCAGAGTTTCGCTCAAAGGGAACCTGTCATGGATCTTATCAATATGTTTATCAATAACCCATTTCCTACAGTGAAGAGAGAAGGAGACAACGAGCAGACAAGTCAAACAATTATAACTGTGGCAAGATGCCGAAGCAAATGCCCCGAAAATCTGTTCACAGACTTTATTTACAGAGAGGACGATAAGAAAGGAGGAGTGAGGTCATTGTGTGAGAGAGAGTCAGTGTGTGTATGAATACAATAATGTGCAGACAAATCTTTCAGTGAAGGAGGAAAAATGAGGGTATAATATTAATTTATGCAGCTCTAACTACGGCAGAGCTGAGGCAAACCAGGCGTTCTTCATCAAGGGCTTGTCCGTGGACTGAGAGTCTTGGTTGGATAATAGGTTAGAAAGTCAGAGTCCTCTTCCGTTGGTCTGGATGGTTTCAGTCTTACGTTGATGAGTACCTTGAAGTTCAGGTCAGGAGCGTAATAACGTAGTTCGGAACATGAAGAGCAAAGTTCAACTTCTTAATAGGAAGACACCAGGGTCCCAGGTGTCGAGGCGGTTGTCCAATTGTCAGTGAGTTGATCTTGTCCCCGACAGGTCCCACAGGTCCTTGACCGTGAAACCGGTCTGGAGATTTGGGTGCGGGTGTTTGAAGTAGTTGATCCTTTCCCAGCATCTCTTCTTCGCTGTGTCCTGTTGTAGTTGTGTCCAGGGGGTCTTCAGCCGAGGTGGATGCAGGTTACGTTGTCATGTAGGTGGGCTCAGGGGGAGCCCCAATCTGTCATTTCAGTTCCAGTTCTAGTACCCCCTCAAATGCTGCTGTCTCAGTTGTTCCATCAGGTGCTGAAAGATGGCCCAAGTGCAGGCCATGAGTGCGACCACCAACATCAACAGGGTGAAGAACCCAGCAAGCTTGAAGCAGATCTTCATCTCATCTTATCTTGATCTTATCTTCACCGGTTTGAGAGACGGCACCCTAGTGGTGGCACACCCCTTTGTAGCCGGACTTCATTGCCACCCTAGTGGCGGTTGGTTGATAAGCTTGCAATGGGATCGATGAGTCCAAGATGGCATCTCAGCAACGTTCACAGCAGTGGGAGTAATGAGGAGTACTTCGAATGGACCTCTGGTTGCCCCATCTGTTTTGCTTCAGCACCTTCATCAGAACCCAATTTCCTGGTGGCCTATGTAGCACAAGGCCTGTATTTCATCTACCAAGAGTTAACGTTCTTCATACAGGAGGTGTTGATATGGCTATCCTTAACTTATCCTGTTCCATTTCTCAAGGCACCATCACAATTTTTACTGATCTCATTTTAAACATATTTTTAATCACCTTTTAAAATCTTTTTATACTTGAATTTTTTTGTGGAGCGCTTCGTGATTTTAATCTTGAAAGGCCTTGAAGATCGTTTTCTTTCTTTGTGAAGATTCCAGATCTTTACCTACACCTCTTTAATAAAGTTGTCTTTTCTGGCTCATCAAATGACTTTATAAGTTATTACAATCTTATTCTGTGGTACCTGCAATACGTTTTACATCTAAAGTGTTTAGTAATATTGACTGCTCCTAATGAATGATGAGTGAACATGAACGATTATTCCTATAATGATTTTTTCCAGATCTTAAATTACACCACATGGGTCTTTTTGTTAAATTTAATAATAATTTGTTTATCAGTGTATTCACACATTAATAATATTATGAATGTTTAACATATTCACCCCACATTAATGTTTAATAAGAGTCACTCCTCATTAGGTGAAATAACCTCTAGGGTTAGAGAATGGAAGCGGTGTCGGAGGACTTTGATACCACCCACCCTAAGTTATCAAATTCTGGATTTGTCTTAATTGATAATCAATAGTTAATCCTTTGGGCACTAGAGATTTCTAAAGAAAATGGTTAGAGATGAAGGTGAACTGTAGATGAGAAAAGTCTTCAGTAGGACCCAAACGTAGGACCGTTAAGGTGTGGCACACTGATGAAGGACACAGATGAAACCGCCTGCAAACTTCCGTGTGATGACCTCTGACCTTACAGTGGACTAATAATTTTGTTAGCCTTCTTCCAATGCTACAGCCCTCATTCATCAACTGTACTCACCGACACATCTGTGTGTAGGAACGAATTTACATATCGTGTGGGATTTACGAGTTTGCACTTGTGTGTGAACATGTTCTTAAGTAAAAGAACCGCTGTGACCATGCGTAGGAACAGCATCTAGTGGTAGAACGGGGAAAGTTGTCCATGCGTGTTCCTCATCCACAAATTATATTTACCCAGAATGTGGGTATGTCGGTGGAAAAACGGCTTTGCCGCATAATTGGTACTTAAACCAATAAGACACACGTGACCAACGGGAATCTGATGTCATGGCTGAACTGTAATTGGAGGACCTTCCAGAGCGTGCTATCTGGAGGAAACGCGTTCTCCGTGAGCGCTCTGATGTCAAAGGAGAACCTTCTGCTACGCTGGGATTTGGGACCCTTTGTGGAGCGACAGATAAACCTCACAAATCCGATTCCAGTTCAGATTTATTTATCAACTACGAGAACCCTCCAGAGCCTCCCCTGCGCCACAATCATACGCGCCGTGTTGCCAAGGCAACCAGACTGAATGACAGCTAAGAGGCTGCACTCAGATATTTCTATAAAAAAAACTAACTCCAACCAAAACGACTCCTTAAATGTAGATGAGAGTCTATCACTCTTATTTATTCCTGACGGGAGCCTCTCCTCTGTCCCACCACGTTTATAACCTCTGCAACTTTCTGTTGTGCTTCAGCAGCCAATGTTTCGACCTCGCTGTCAATAAAGTTTTTCTTATCTTTATTCGGGAAAAACTACAGGAACCCCCTCGCGTGCTGAGGACGTAGCGTGACCAAATATGGTTAAATGAGCGTATTTCCGTATGTAAATGACCGAACGGACACAAGCACCTGGGTAGCACAGGTGGGCTTTATCACCAGGCGGTTGCGGAGGAACGTGCGTACGAGAGGCCACTGCACGTTTCATACACCAGGATTTTGACTGTTGGTTAAAATGGTCATTAGAAGGAATATAGGACAGTTTCTACAAACGTCTGATAAATGAGGGCCCAGTTTCATCTTAGGTCAAATTTCTAAAGATCAATGATATTGATAATTCATATTTATATGGAATACAGTGATCCCTCACTACTTCGCGGTTCGTTTATCGCTGATTCACGACTTCGCGGATTTTTTTTGGAGCCTTATTCAAGGGAAATTCGCCGATTCGCGGTATTTTTCTATGCGAAATGTCAAGAAATTCCTGTTTATTTTCATCAATTTCATCATAAAATGCACTTTTTGTAATAAAACTATAAAAAACCAAGTAAAAAAATTTTTTTTTCTTGAGTTTTACCCACAAAAAGAGAATGTGATCATACGATAATTCAATATAGTACTGTATGTCAGACTGGTCGGCTGGATTCGGGAGTTGAGCTTGTAGGGAGCGTGGTTTCACAGGCGCGGAAGTGATAGCGCCGGTGAAACGCCGGCTCACGATTAATCTAGGAAACCCCCGAGCAATCGAGCGTCAACGAAGTGACACGGAAATGCCGGGATTTCCAGAAGTAAGTAAGATAACTTACTATGAGCTGACAGTTCGTTGGATTGATCGGTAGGTTGGAAACTCTGATCATGAATCTGAAGAAACGATGACTGAGTGGTGAGCTGGAAAGGCGACTTCCGTATGTAGCCGCGGTTTGTGACGTAGGTGCTGGGAGTCCCTACTTCGCGGATTTTCACCTATCGCGGCCAGGTCTGGAACGCATCTACCGCGATAAACGAGGGATCACTGTATCACATCTTATTGATCATTTAATGAAAGTGACCACTTACTTCACATTACACCTGTACCTGGTATTCCTGGCACGCGTCATGCACGAGCAGCGTGTGGAGATGTCCACAGAGACTCCCACATGAGCTGGATGGTGTGGTGGTGCTGAGGAGCCCGTATGCTCTTTCATCCCTGTTGATGGTTGATCTGTCATTAACCGTGGCACAATGACCGTCATGTCTAGCTTCACTTGTGACCTGTTACATCCTTCCACGCTCAGTCCAGAGTGACCTGGGTCCACACAACACCAGAGGTGACCAGGCTTTTGCAGCCATAAGTCCTCTGCTCCAGAACCAACCTCCATCTGGGAGAAAACAGTCCATGTCCCTGCCACAGCCAGACGGTAGCTTTTACCTCCTTAGTTAAGTTCACCTGTTCAGGAGCTCGTGGTGCTCTGCAGAAGCCTGTTAACCACCAGAACGTCTAGGAGAACCTTTAGAACATGCATCCATCCCTCATTCAGGAAGCTGCTCACACACAAAATAAGTGAAACCTGCAGAAGTCATTTTCCACACAAAGCCTGGTGTAAGAACACATTTTAGAGGCCGAGTCCAGATGTTTAACCCACGTTATCATGACGACCAAAACAACTCTCCCTCCTCTGGTGTTCCAGCGCTGAATTATGACATCGTGTTGGAAACGCCCTCTGAGACGGATGAGGAAGACAAGATGCCGCTCTGTGATGACAACAGCTCCACGGGAGGAGGAAGACGGCGTGCCGGCGAAGAAGCAGGAAGTCCTTCTCCTCCAGTCAGCCATGCCACACTGTCCATGCAGGAGAACCCAGATCAGCACCAGGAGGACAAAAACCTAGGTGAGGATTGTGTGTGTGTGTGTGGTCTTGTAGGTGAGGACACCTGTCCAGGTGTTTTATATTCCACCTGGATGTAACCTAACAAACTGGTAGAACCCTCCTTCTGGGTAATCAGTGGAAGTTTCTGCTGTTTGGGTAAATCATTGCAACTACCTTCCGTGATGCGCAGCTTCTCGTTCCTGAAGCAACCCTGTCAGAGACACGGTTGGTGTGTTCCTCACATGTGACCCCTCCCTGTGGGGAGCGGTGAGCTGCAGCAGTGGCTGTGCTCAGGAACTATTTGGTGGTTTGACCCCCAATCCAACATTAGTGCTGAGTGTCAAGCAGGGAGGCTTTGCGTCCCCTTTTTAAGTCTTTGGTATGACCCGATCGGGGATTTGAACCCATGGTCTCTCAGGGAACACTCTCATACCACTAGGCCACTGAGCTGTTTCGCTGGTTTGCTGGAGAAGGGGCAGAAACAAGCAACCCGGTTCAGACCCGTCACAACACGTTCTTACACCTGGAAGCAGAGAGAGGAACCATCCTCTCAGCGTCCTGTTCAGTAGTGAACATTTCAGGGGAAAAGGACTTTACCCTGCAGTGCATCATTCACCCATTCACACGCTGGTGGTGATGAGCTACATCATAGCCACAGCTGCCCTGGGGCACACTGACAGAGGCAGTTCAATAACATTAAAATCAACGAGACGCAAAATACAATTAAAAGTTAAAAAGAAACAAAGTTAAAGGATGTGCAGTTACAGAGCAGAAGGTGCAGCATAAGAACATTCATTCAAAGGCTGATGAACACATGAAGGTTACTAGAGGAAGCTGATTCCATCTGAGCAGCATAGTAGCTAAAAGCAGCTTCACCCTATTTGGTTCTGACCCGGTTCTACCAGCTGACTGTTCCCTAAGGATCTCAGAACCCTGCTGGGCGTAGTTACAGGAAGGAGATCCCACATGTGTTCTGGTGCTTTTGAGTGATTTATAAACTAGTAGTAGCATTTTAGATGGATTCTGTAGTTTACTGGTTACCAGTGTAGAGATCTAAGAACAGGAGTGATGTGCTCCGCTCTCTACGTGAGGCTTCTGACGTAGGTGCACGTTGTTTGGTCAGACAAGGATCAGCTGAGGAGCTTTAGGGTGAATAAGGCAGAAATTATGTTTAATAAACGTATTATTACAGTAAATAAATAAATAAATCATACAAAATTATAACTATAGAGCTCTTAAACAATTCCACCAAAACACAAGAGTTATCACTGGAATTCACACGTCAGTTCAACAAAATAAACACATGAGAGAGCAGGACCCGAACCGGCCCCAGCAGGATGTCGAACACCATCTTTGTAGTGTTTTGGTTCAGTTCAAAATTGTCCAGGTTGTTCGTTCCAACCCAAGCTAAAGCAGCTGCCTCAGAGCAGCGGCGGGTGGGTGGGTGGCCGCCATTCTCCGTTCACCAGGGCCTTCTAGCGGTGACTGGAAAGAAGATGAAGCAACAGTAACCTGACCTATAACCAGGTCAGAACCACACATTACTGAAGTTGTGAAGTGTCAAAAGTCACGTCATATCTGTACAGACCGAAACTGTACACAGTTCAACATTCAACATTTACTAACATGCTTTGTTTCTAACCAGAGGAACACATGTCCACAGCAAGGAATACTCCGGCTTACTGCTACTACCTCCATGACCACCATGTTCTGATGGTACTACCTAGGCTAGGCCCTGTAGCGATGGATAAAGGTCATGTGATCAGAGGAGAAGAGATGCAGATGGGGCTCCCATCACGCCTAGTGTCTACTTTACAAGCCTGTGGGGGCAGTCTATGATCTGGGGTTACTGCAGTTGGTCAGGTCTAAGTTCAGCTACATTATGGCCCCACAGAGTGAGGTCAGCTGACTGACCAGGACCAGGTTATCCCACCAATGGGACTGTTCTTCCTGATGGAGAAGGCACATTCCAAGGTGATGTAGTTCAGAGACTGGATCTTGATCCCACTGAGAGTCTTCAGGATGCGCTGACTGTCCCATCACTGATACAGCATCTAACGTGGCGATGCTGCAGAAGCACATGGACACAATGCCACAGCTAACATGAGCTGTAATCAGAGCTACAGGTGGTCCTAGTGATCAGTTTTAACGTTTTCATTCTGATGTGAAACTTCTCTCACCAACATCATGTCTTGTTTTTATGTGTTTCCATGGTTACATGTGGTTATGGATTACGATTACTAGTTCTCTGTCTTCCTGTCTCCTTAGCAACACACCTTCACAGCATCTCTGAACTGGATGATTACTTCCTGAAGCAAAAACTGGAGGATGGCGATAGTACTCCACCAACAATTACTGAGTACCTGCAGCGCAGCAGCACCGCCATCATTTACCCAGAAGCCCCGGAGGAAGCAGCAAGAGTGAACACACCTGAGGCAGCTGGTCACGAGGAAAGTGAAAACGGTTAGAGGATCAATAATAATAACATCAACAACAACAATGAAACAAACCACACCACCAAATATGTTGACCTTTGATGAAAGCAAGAACAGAGTAGCAGTGAACCCCGCCCAGACGCTCATCAGGCCCCCCCCCCCCCCCCCCCCCTCCACACACACACACACACACAATATTATCACATCCACACGTTAGATTAAAATTAACTTGTAAAAACAAAACTAATATTTACTTGGGGGGTGCTATGGGGTGCAATGACTAATCCAGGGGTAGCTATAGCGCCCCCTAGTGGCCCCCTGGTGCTGCCACTGGTTCATTTAAAGTTCCTCTTAGATCAGGAGAATCTCACACAGGGAATAAAGTGTTGATCTACGGCAGAGGCCTGAAACCAAAAACATGTTTCCAGTGTTTCATGTTTACCTTCAGAGACCTTTGACCTCTGGTGTCCCCCACAGACCCTCTACCCACCACGGATGACTTTGCTCAGCTGCTCACATGTCCGTACTGCCACCGCGGCTACAAGCGCCTGACATCTCTGAAGGAGCACATCAAATATCGCCATGAAGGGATGGACGAAAGACTCTCCTGCCTGCTGTGCTCTGAGAGCTTTACTCACAGAGCACAGCTGGAGCGTCACATGACCTCACACAGGTCTACCATGGACCAGGTAAGCTAACACACCAGTTGAGTCTGTAATCATGATATAAACATGGTTTAGGCCAGGGGTCCTGGCAAGATTTGTCGAAGGGTTGTGTAGCGTTACGGGGTGACTGCATACGTAATAAATGATCAGTACATGTGATGATTCCATATAAATATGAAATATGGTTGATATTTGAATGTTTAATCAGAAGATTCTAGTTACTTTAACTTGTTCAGGGACCCTAAACACACTTCGTATTAATTTGTTTATAAAAATGAATTTATTTCTATTTCACTAAACTAACGATTATACAAGACAAGGTATGAATGGAAGCTAGATGTTTTAGAAGAACCTTGTGAGTATCTGAGATGGAGGTTGTGGAGTCTGGGTGGTAACTCTGTCTGGCTGTCTGGTTTGAGAAGCTAAACTTTATTTAGTATAAAGCCATCCAACGCCAGTGTGCAGAGCCTACGATACCCTTGTGCGTGTCGCTCCTGGCGGTCCGGAGGAAAAGCAGCCCGAGTGGTGATGTCACCGGACATCGAGACCATGAGAACCCAGAGTCGTAGCTCCCTTTGAATTCAGCTTCACCGGCCATGACATGCACCCAGGGCCTGCAGGTTAGATGTCTGTCTGAGGTGTTGGTGGCTCCTAAAAGAGCTGTTATGTCTGCTACCACCTGCAGTGACGCAGGCTTTGAGCTCGGGGTCAAAAGAGAAGACGGCTTCACATGCTTGCTCACCCGATTGGCCGAACTGGGAGTCAGCTGGAAACTGACTAGATCAGGAAATAATTCCTGTTTGAATCAACTTTGTTTATAAATGAGGTAAATCAGGATTTGATACATTTAGGAGGGCATTACCCAAACAGCTCAGGCAACACATTCTCACACCCAAAGCGTTGGAAAATGGCGCGTGTGACCAAGCGTCAAAATATGGTGATTCAGGGTGCCCCGGAGCATCGGTACCCGATGCCCGCGGTCACACGGACATTTGACCGAGTTGTGACCTACTTAACCTTAACCAGGTTGCTCATGCAAAGCTTAGTTGAAAATGACTGAGTTAAGGTTGGGATGGGAGTGAGTGGAAGGTTAAATCACTAGAGAATAGAGGTGAAACGTCAATGTCACGTGTCCTTGCGCGTCCTCTCCCGACGCGCTGGGGCACCCTGATCATCATATGTGACGCTCGGTCACGCGTGTCATTTTTCTACTCTTTGGGTGTGAGAATGTGTTGGCTCAGAAGTTACGCCTTCCCTCAGATCCTCAGAGAGGTTAACGCTCAGTGTGAAGTGGAAATGTTAAACATGAATAACTCATTATGACGTGTACGAGTAAACTGAGAACTTGTTACACAAACACGGATCTGGTGTAGTTAAAGATCTAACATGGATCATTGCAGGAAAAATATTCATTTTAACACATCATTAAGAGATGATTATATGACACGTATGCAATGATCACATGTTTAAAAGTCATTTATGATTCGAGGAAGATGAACTTTATTCAGAGTGAAAGCAGAAAGTCTCGTCTTCTGCATGGCTGCGTTCCAGCTGAGATGAGGTAGCTAGTTTCGTCATGGCTCTTTCATCCGGCGACAGGGCCTTGAGCAGATGGGATGCTTGTGTCTGCAAATGAAAAATATCATTTCTGTTCATGCAGATGAAAATACTGGCCTTTGGGTACGCTACACCAGATTGTTTCTGACCTTTGGAAGGTTCTCAGTCATCCAGGTCATGGTAATCCAAAGAGGTTCAGATGACGACAACTGGACTTGTTTGGTTTCTTGAAGATGTTTCTGTTCTCGTTTGCGGAGCTCTGTCAGTTCTGGCTGGAATATGGCCGAGTGAAGCTTGTGGACTGTGGCTGTCTGCTGTTGGGTAGAACCTTCCTATCCATACCTCCCCCTGATGAGTCGTTTGCCTCCATCGTGCGGGGGTGGTTGTATTGATTAGATGCAGAAGAGTGTGACCTAGACTAAAACTGTTTGGGGATTAGGTTCAGAGAGACGTGTATGTACTAGAGAGGTGAAGCCTGAGTCCTCCTCTATTTAATGTAGGTTTCTTCCCTTTGCCAAATATGGCTTCCGTTACTCCTCTCTCCTCCCATCGATCTTCTTGTGCAGAATGTGTACTTCTTCAAAAGTGTCCCTTGTCCTTCGGGTGTGGGTGGACTGCAGAGTGTAGACCTGAGGAGGTGGCTCTCCTGTGTTGTGTAGAAGTTTGGTTTCCTCTACGTAGTAATCTGGACAGTCCTCGCTGCCCCGGACTGCATGAACCACGCCATTGAGCTTCTGGTTGGGTGTCTCGTCTTTTGGATAGACCACTTTCTGTCTGAGGGTGTTGTTGGGTTCACCGAGATGTTCTCTAGAGAGGTATGAGTTTGTAATCATTTTTGATTAAATGTCCATTTCAGTTTGTTGAATTTGATATAGAAAAATAGTAGAACATGCATTTTCTCTGTTCTTGGTTCAGTAATATTTGGGGGCCGGGTTGAACGGTCTGGTGGACCAGATGTGGCCCATGGGCCACCATTTAAGGTTCACTGGTGTAGAGAGAATCGTGTCTATCATCAGCAGGGTTTGAGCCCTATCATGGGTGGATAGCATGTGTGTACAGTCTGATTTCTAGCAGCAGGACAGAAATAAAGGCAAAAACACACACGAGGGGTTTGTGGTCACTCTTTTGATGGTAGCTTTAGTTGTGTTTGAGTCACATAACAAAGGTCTACAGCGTCTTATAGCCACCGTTCGGACGTTTCTTTAGAGGTACAGCATGATAATACTTGTTGATATTTAGGCCCAGGGGTGCAGGTAGAATTTTCATACTGGGATGGACAAAGTTCCAATGTACCCTCCCCCAAACACACACACACACACACACACACACACACACACACACACACACACACACACGCGCACACACACACACACGCACACACACACACACACACACACACACACACGCGCACACACACACACACACGCACACACACACACACACACACACACACACACACACACAAACTTAACTAGAGCTCAGTCAGTGTGTGTAATGGTTTACGAAAACACTAACACTATTATATACGTGTTTGAAGCCATTGTGTAATGGAACGCTGGCATTTGTTATTCTCCCAATCGATTACTAACCAAAACCTCGTGCTTTATGCAAAACATTAAATGATTTTCAGCATATTACAGAAAGCATAAAAGCCCTAAAAAACTGCACATAAAACATATTTAAAAAACAATAATCACTTGTCACTCAGAGCAGTGGTTCCCAAACCTTTCAGCCTCTGACCAACAGATGTTCCTTCATATTTTTATGTTATTTATAAATTTTCGTTATATTTGGAAAGTTTTAATTTATATATAAATATATAAATCTCTATTTAAATTTAATATTTTCCTATTTATTATGATTATGTGGCACACTTGACTTCCATATATAACGCATGGGCATCTGCCCTTTTGCGGCTTTTTTTTTTTTACATTGTCGCTACGTCTGTCACATTAGCGGTGTTTTTACAATCTATCACGTCCCAGAGAAGGTTAAACCAACATCAAACCCAACGTCTGGAGCTTGTAAACTCCACACACCTCTCGTGCAGCACCAGCTGTCTGATGCTGCAGCAGCGTCTATCGTCCCGGCTGGATGAGTGAATTCCTTCATCAGAGTCAATATTCTGCTTCATAATCAGAGTCAGTCATTACCAGACAAAGTGATCAGTCAACAAAGACCAGACCTGTCGGCAGTTATACGTTTTATCTAATATTTACGCTCTTCATGCTGCGCGCATCTCCTCCTCTCCCTGACTGGGAGCCTGACAGCGGGAGGCGTTTTTCAAACTCTAAAAACTCCCAAACTTTGCTCAGCCTGAAGGTTCCACATCTCCACTATCTTCTGGTGTAAAGTAGTAACTTCATGAGGGATCATATTTGTAGATGAGACTTGTGAAAATCAGCAATGAGGCTTTGGCGCTTTTAACGAGTAAGTCCCAATAGGGCTGCTCAATTAATCGAATTTTAATCACGATTACGATCTGAGTTTTGAACGATTATAAAAAACAAAACAAGCCGATTATTTGCTCCTCCCGCTTGCGCTGCCCTGAGTGACAAATGAAGCGCTCCTCCCACAGTGTTGCCAACTTAGTGACTTTGACGCTATTTCTAGCAGCTTTTCAGACCCCCTTCTTGACCTTTTAAATCTTAAAAGTACCTAGCGAACATCTCAGAAACATCTCTGGTAACCCTTAGCTACTTTCTGGATAACTGTCGTCGACATTTCCTGCAGGTTAGCTAAACACTCCGCCTGCGCTCCGGACCGTTCTTCAGGACATTAGGAATGGGAATGATGTAGTGATGTGTCAGTCACTAAAGACAGCTCTCGGAGCCGGCTCCCTGTTGGAGTAACCAGAGTGAGTGGCACACACACCGTACCTGCGGACTCCTGAGCCACTATAAACGGCTAAATGTGCGCGTGCGGCGTGCTAAACACACGTGCAGCTTGCCCCTGATTGCTGTGAGCCCGGGGTGGGGGGTGCAGCTATGGTTGGGACAATTATTACATTAACTGATGGACTTGTAAATAAATAGTTTATAAATAAGGTAGAAACAAGTTCCTCACGCTGATAAATAATAACTAATCTCTCTGAGGACATGGTGCTAGTGCACTCTCCTACAGCACCTTGACACGACTCAATAAATGTTATGCAACATTTTGTGAACATCAATTTATTTGCATTTATTTGTTATAATTGTTTATTTGTATAATTCTTGCTGTCAGTATTTGCAAGATATTGGTATTTGGGTCTGTACTGGTTAGACTTAAATGAGTTAAACCAAGGTCTATAGCCCTTGGGTCATAGACTATGAGCTTTAAGTATATTGGTCTTTTTATACTGGGAATCAGGAGTTCTTTTAGTGATCATCTTGTTTCTTGTTTATTTTTGTCCTGATTGTGCCCTGAGCAATTTTATGACTGAATAAAAACAAATAAAATCAACATAAATTGAAAAATCGTCCTAAATAATCGTGATCTCAATTTCAGTCACCATAATCGTGATTATTATTTTTGCCATATTCGAGCAGCCCTAAGTCCCAACACTGACAACAACGTACTGAAACTAGAACCAACACGCATAAACAGACAGATTGGTCCCGCCTACTTACACTGTTGGTATTTTTTAAACACGCAGTTATCGTTGCTTTTCATCCGGCATCCTAGCAGCAACCACTTTGCCACCTCTGGAGTTGGTGTTTGTTTACGTCATGCTGCATTCAATGTAATTGGAAAAAGGAGCTTCAAGCGCTTAACCTCCTTTCTTTCTGGCCTTAGTGCGGAGGATGGATCGGGGTTGATCTGAATCTGGGGGGGACAGATCCCCCCGTCCCCCACCCCATCTGCGCGCCTGCTCAGGCCCAAAGACTCAGGGGGGGCTGGGATTTGGCACACACACACACACACACACACACACTGTGTGTGTGTGTGTGGAGTGTGATTATGCAGCCTATGAAGGTCATTCATGGAGTCACTATAATCTAAAGATGAGGTGTGGTACACATCTCCTGCTGACACCTGTTTGCTTCGCCTCAGCTTCCACAAGTCTCATTAGAGTCAGTAACTAAGCTCCAAGTCATTCCATTTTCCAATTACATCATGATCCTAATGGGATTTTCCCAGCAAAGCTGTTGTTCCCAACCTCAGAGGCACACCACCCTGCCCCCACCAGCCTGAACCAGGACCAGATGGTCTGTTACCTGCTGGACTGGAGAACCCTAATCCTCCAAGTGGCTGTTAATTAGAAGAATCATTGAGTTAAACTGCTAAAGACCGACTAGAACCTGAACTCGGGTCAGATCATCTGTGTTTACAGCAGTCTTTCCTCATCACTAAACTGTGTTACCATGACAACAGGGAACCAGATGACCATGGTTAGAGTTGGAGAGTGAGTCTCAGATGAAGTTCAGATCAGAACAAACATGTCTGTCCCACTTGGCGCAGCTGAGGTAGACTTCAGCTTTGCCTTTATCACCAGTCTAGCCCACCTTGGCACCCCACAGGGCCGTGTGCTGAGCCCCCAGCACTGCACACTCACCACAGCTGTCAGACTCAGGCCCTTGGCCCACAGCCCACAGCGCATTCATATTTGGCCCATGAGATTATTTATCCACTGTGTGTTAGAACCAGCCCACCAGCGTAGACGCCGTTAATGCTACAAATGCCAGAATGCTTTGCTGCGCTCATGTGTGAGTTGAGAGCGTGAAGCCTCGTTTTCTGTTTACAGTCATTAGCATCTGTGCTAACAGTCTTGAGGAGGGTACAGCATCAGGCCCTGACACTGCAGATTTCAGTCAGTCAGCTGAATTTACCCGTGATGTCTTCAAACATCTTTTGCACGTTCTTGCTGTGTTTGACTCCTAATTCTATTTTTTGGTTCTGGTTTGATTTAGCGACTAAGAAGCTCAGTAATGTGTTATCGGTTATCGTGGAGACCACGCCAACCAACCTCCAAAGAGAACTGACTGAACTTCAGAGTAGGACATGCTCAAGTCAAAGTTTGACTCTGAGATGCTGCGCAGTTCCTCCCCGTCACACCGACCCACCTGTGTACGTTCAGCAGCACACACCTGTGTGAGTAGATGAAGAAAACAACTCAGGAGTCTCACTGATGAACACGTTCCTCAGCTCAGAGCCTTACCTAGTGAGCATCAGCGTGAACCAGAGTGGAGCATGCTGGGCTGGGACTGTTGCGGTTTTTACTCCAAGGCATGAATGTTAATAGTTGACAGTTAGCATTTTTATTTTGGGTGTTTGTTTGTTGGCCTGTGAAAAGGAAGTCAGAGGGTAAAAACCACTGACGTGTGTTTAAAAAATAAACTCACCCAGACTCACTCTTGATGCTAAACTAAACTCCATATGAAATGGTTCAACCTTACGTATACAGGGATGAAGGAAACTGCTGTTACAGTTCATTTTTCAACGAATAATGAGTATTTCTCACGACTCTGTCCCACTTTTTATTTTGTGAATTAGAGTTTGATGTTCCTGCTCTACACCTATGACTGCACACACACACACACACACACACACACACACACACACACACACACACACACACACACACACACACACACACACACGCACATGCACACACACACACGCACACATGCACACACACACACACACACACATGCACACACACACACACACACACACACACACACACACACTCACACACACACACACACACACACACACACACACACACACACGCACACACACACACACACACCCCACTGCTTGTCCATGCTGGAGCAGCAGCAGCTCTACTACAGCTCCACATAGCAGCCAATCAAGGGATGGGTGGGCGTGACCAGCAGCAGCTTGTTTCCCTTAAGGTGACAGAATCCTGAAACAACTCCTTCTGGAAGGTTCTGAAACTGAAGAATGAAACTGCTGATACTGATTCATGTTAGCCCAGAGACCTGATAAAAAAGCTTTCTCTGGTGAACGAATAAAGTGAGTCTTCAGGTTTGTGTGTAGCTAAATGATGGGAGCTGCCGTTCTGCTGTGGGGGAGGATCTGAACTGCTGGGCATGTACTTCCTCCAGAAAGTGCTAGTTCAGAATGCAGTCAGCCCACAGTTTCTCAGAAAGCCTTTCACACACATACGTCCAGGAGAATCATATCATCATGGGTTCACTCTCTGCTCCACTCCCACTCATCCTCCTTCTGTCTGCAGCTGCTGATGCTCAGCGAAGGAACTGCAAACCGCAAATTCAAGTGCAGTGAGTGTGGCAAAGCCTTCAAGTACAAGCACCACCTGAAGGAGCACCTACGTATTCACAGCGGTTAGTGGAGCTTTATGATTCATCTGAGATGATTGTGTCAGGTCACATTTTTGTGTTTAACATTCAGCTTGAACCCTGAGAACACTGATGAAGCAAAAACAGCGGTGACCAGCAGAGAAACGTCAGTGTGGAGTCGGAGCACACCAGAGCAGCGGGAACAGCTAATCCCGAGTCCTGTTTATCGTCTCTCTTGTGTGCGTCTACAGTCAGCGGTGGTCCGGTGAGACCGTATGCTGTTAGACTTTAGAAGCACCTGTACCTTAGTGATAATGGTGCAGCTGTTTATTAGGGTTAGGGTCAGGAGGAGAGTCAGGTGTATTATTGCATCGTGTTCAGTTTGAACGTTTCTTCTGCCATAAGTTAAGGTCCGTGTAGCTAATAACTAGCATCTCATTTAGTTCGATTTCAGTTTGCCCATGCTGATGGTGACAGCTTCGTAGTACATTCACCTAAAACTAGCATCTCTTAACAATCAGGTCTCGAGTCTCAGTAGAATAACCTACATTAGTTATAAACATCTATTCCAGGGTTACTCAAATGTAATGGGCTGAGTGTCACTCAACACAGCCACTTTGAAATGGGGGGGTGTTCGGGGGCCACAAAGAAGGGGCCTGCGAGCCGGGCCTGGCCCACGGCCCTCCTATTGAGTGCTGCTGATCTAGATCTTACTTAAACCAAACTCCATCAGGAAATCCGACCAGCATGGTTGTCATTAGTTAAATGTTGACTGATGAAATGATTACCGTGATCACGAGCTGAGCATTGTTTCTGTGTTGTCTACAGGTGAGAAGCCATACGAATGCTCCAACTGTAAGAAACGCTTCTCCCATTCTGGATCCTACAGTTCCCACATCAGCAGCAAGAAATGTGTTGGCCTGATTGCACTTCATGGACGATTACGCAACGGAAAGCCTGGCACCTCCCCAAGCTCCACAATTTCTTCACCTGGAAGCCCTGCCCTTTCCCATCTCCAGCACAAACTGGAAAATGTACGAACACTTGGCTCAAAAGATCAGCACAGTCAGCTGGACTTGAATGAGTACCGGCTGCTGATGGCTTCACAGTATGGGTTTGGGGTACCAGATATCTGCCTAAATGGTCATAGTCGAAGCCCTCTTGACATCCACAGTTCCTCTCAGAGCTCCCTTCAGCATCTAGGTGACATGGGACTTGATCTCTCCTTGCTGGGCTACACAGTACCTCTTGGAAACAGCCTGAGTGATGTGCAGAAGGTGCTTCCGATTGTGGACAATACCGTTTGCAGGCAGAGGACAGACAGTAACCCAGAACAGTTATCCAAGCTCAGAGCCTACATGAAGGAGCTTGGGGCTCATATGGATGCCCAGGCTGGCTTTAATGTGGGCCAAAGCAACCTCACCAAGAGCATCATTGACAACACACCGGAAAAGGTCAGTGAGGCCAAGAATCTTATCAGTGAGTCTAAGATGCAACTAAATGTTAAAGAAGAGAAAACAAATCAATCAGTTGCTATCCTTAATGAAGAGAAGTTCCCTGATGCACAGAACCAGCTGCTTCTGTTCTCCTGCCAACACTGCAAGGAGACCTTCCCCGGGCCCATCCCACTACACCAACATGAGCGCTACTTGTGCAGCATGAACGAGGAGATCAAAGCAATTCTGCAGCCTGCAGAAAACAGTCCTACCAGCTGCAGGGGGCTGATAACTGATACTGACAAGCCCAGAAGCCCCAACAACCATTTCAACACCTGTGGGTCAGTACTGAATTCTTACTTTGCCATGAAAACTGAACCCAACTCTGAGGAACTGCTTAAGATTTCCATCGCCATTGGCCTTCCTCAGGAGGCTGTCAAGGAGTCATTTGCCGAGTGGAAGAGTCAAAACCATGACACCGGTGATTTGAGGGAACAGTTGAGCCTTCCTAACCACAGTTCACTGGACCACAGTCTAAACCAGTCTTCAGTCTCACTCTCTGCAATAAATTTGCATGATGGTTTTGCTAAAAGTGATGCTATTCACAGACTTACCAAGGCCAACCACTTTACAGCCAATGAGAAGACAACAGTTGGCAGACCTCTTGATCCAACAGACCATTCAAGGAGCAACACTTCATCACCCCTAAACCTGTCCTCTATTTCCTCCAAACACTCCCAGAGTAGCTCTTACACTCCCAACAGCCTCACTCCTGAGGATGTCCGTGGAGATATTCCACTGGATCTGTCTCTGCCTAAACACTTGGTGCAGAAAAAAACCAGACTTAGTGGTTTCATCAAAGAACACAATGTAGATGTTTCAGGGTATGAACACAGCACTGGACCATTAGACTTTGTCAGCATTAAGGAGGTAGTTCTAGGTTCTAGGAGTAGAGGGAACTCCCATGACCAGCTGGAGAAAAACCTGAGTCCCATCTTTGGGATTAATCCATTTACTGGTGGTTCTGTCTACAACACTCTGCAGCCTAATGGAGTCTTTCCTCCGCCCACCTTCTTAAGTGCTTCTCAGGCAACCATCCCTGGCTTCAGGCCCTTTCCAGGCCTCGACACCATGGGCTTTCTGCCCCATGTCGCATATTCCTATGCCACAGGAGCTGCAACATTTGCTGAAGTGCAGCAGCAAAGGAAGTACCAACGGAAAGCAGGTTTCCAGGTAAAGCCAGACCACTGTGTTTCTAACATTCTCTTATGTTCAATATATACATTTGGTGATTTCATAATCCCAGAGGGAAATTGATTGCTGTTGTAGCTAATAATAATAATAATAATAATAATAATAATAATAATAATAATAATAATAATAATAATCAAGTCATCAAAGAGTTGTTGTATATTACAATGGCTGTTGGCAGGAAGGATCTCCAGTAGCGGTCGGTGTTGCAGCGAAACTGAAGAAGCCTCTGACTGAAGACACTCTTCCATTGTCGGACAGTCTTGTGAAGAGAATGCTCAGGGTTGTCCATAATTTTCTTTATTCTCTGGAGAATCCTTCTTTGCATTATCTCCTCCAGCGGGTCCACAGTCGTCCCCAGAACAGAACCAGCCTTTTTATTAGGCTGTTGAGCCTTTTCAGGTCCCTGCTTCTGATGCTGCTACCCCAACAGACGATGGCTGAAGAGATTACCCTCTCAACAACAGACTTGTAGAAGATCTGCAGCATCTTGCTACAGACACTGAAGGACCTAAGCATCCTCAAGAAGTGCAGTTTGCTGTGTCCCTTCTTGTAAATGGCTTCACTGTTCTTTCTCCAGTCTAGTCTGTTGTCCAGGTGAACTCCAAGGTGTTTGTATTCCTCAACCACCTCCACTTCTTCTCCCATGATGGAAACAGTGTTTGACTCCACCCTGTTTCTTCTGAAGTCTAAAATCATCTCCTTTGTTTTGTTCACGTTCAAGGTCAGATGATTGTTTCCACACCATGCCACAAAGCGCTCCACCAGCTCTCTGTACTCAGCTTCCTGTCCATCACTGATACACCCAACAACTGCAGAGTCATGAGTATTTCTGTAGATGACAGGTCTCTGATTTGTACTGGAAGTCTGAGGTGTACAGGGTGAAAAGGAATGGTGAGAGTACAGCACCCTGTGGTGCTCCAATGTTACTGATCACCTGGTTTGATGTGCAGCTCTTCAGCCTCACAAACTGTGGTCTGTTTGTCAGGTTGTCTTTAATCCAGGCGATAGTTGAGGCCCCCACCTGTGTCTTCTGGAGTTTCTGGCAAAGTACATCAGGCTGGATTGTGTTAAATGCACTGGAGAAATCAAAGAACATGACCCTCACAGTGCTGCCTGCTTTGTCCAGATGACAGTGGATTGGTTGAAGCAGCTGGATGATGGCATCTTCAACTCTAACTCCATGGCAATAAGCAAACTGCAGCGGGTCCTGATATGTTCTAGTTTGCTTATTCAGATGGACCAACAGGAGTCTCTCCAGGACCTTCATGATGTGGGATGTCAGGGCAACCGGTCTGTAGTCATCATTGACTGATGGGCGAGTTTTCTTTGAAACTGGAACAAGGCAGGATGTCTTCCACAGGACTGGAACCTTCGCCTGGGCCAGGCTGAGGTTGAAGAGGTGCTGCAGAATCCCACAGAGCTGCTCTGCACAGGCCTTCAGTACTCTGGGGCTGACACCATCTGGACCTGCAGCCTTGTTCCTGTTCAGTCTCTCCAGCTGCCTCTTCACCTGACTTCTAGAGACCGATAGGTGGGAGGGGGAGGTAAATGGGGCAGCAGCATCTCCTGACTTGGTTGAAGACAGATTTATAGAACCAGAAGAGTCTATGACTGTATTAGAGGACAAAAGAGCTGGCATGTGACAGGAAAATGTTGGATCAGTGGAGGATGGGATGTCTGATTGGCAGGGGACAGGCGAGGAGGATGCTGGGTTTGTTCCTGAACTGAACCTATTGAAGAACTTGTTCAGTTCATTGGCTGTGTCCAGGCTGCCATCTGTGCAATCCTTCCTCTGCTTGAAGCCTGCGATCTTCTTCATCCCTGACCAGACATCTCTGATATTGTTCCTCTGTAGTTTGTTCTCCAGCTTCTTCCTGTATGCCTCCTTGCTGTCTCTGATCTTGATCTTCAGTTGCTTCTGTATACTCCTCCATAATTCCGTCTCCCTCCTTGAAGGCTCTTTTTTCTCATTTAGCAGATTCTTCAGTTCACTGGTGATCCAGGGTTTGTTATTAGCGAAGCATCTCACTGTTCTAGTGGGTATGATGTTGTCACACAGAAGTTTATATAGTCAGTGACACATCCAGTCATGGCATTGATGTCCTCTTCATATCCTTGGCAGAGAGTCATCCAATCTGTGGTCTCAAAACAACCCTGCAGGGCTTCTTCAGCGTCCTGTGACCATTTCCTAACAGTTCTTTTTGTCACAGGTTGCCTCTGAACAAGTGGTTTGTATTCTGAGCAGAGAAAAACAAGATTGTGATCTGATTGTCCCAGAGGAGGTCTTGTTTTGGACATGTATGCATTCTTTACATTTGCATAACACAAATCCAATGTCTTGTTTTCTCTGGTGGAGCAGCTGACAAACTGATGAAATGTTGGAAGTGTAGCAGAGAGCGAGGCATGATTAAAATCACCAGATATAGCCACAAATGAATTGGGGTGCTGGGTTTGTAGCTTAGCGACAACGTAACTGATGGCATCACATGCAATTTCAGCAATGGCTGAAGGTGGAATATAAACGGTTGCCAAGACAACACTGGTGAACTCTCTTGACAAATAAAATAGGTGAACACTTACTGCCAAGAGTTCAACATCTGGGCTGCAGAAACGACATTTCACTGAAAAATGACATGGATGGCACCATCTATTGTTGACAAGCACTGCCACTCCACCTCCTTTTCTTTTCCCACTCCTCTTCAGATCTCTGAGTGCTTGTACAGTCAGGAATCCTGGTAGAGAGACACTGGAATTGGGGATATGGTCCTGCAGCCACGTCTCAGTGAAACACATACTGAAACACTGCACTGCCGATACTCTGTCTGAGTCCTTGAAAGGGCTTGGAGTTCATCCATCTTGTTGGCCAGTGAACTCACATTGCCCATTATGATCTATGGAAGAGGTGATTTGAAGTTCCTCTTTCTCTGTCTCCGTTTTGCTCCCGTTCTGCATCCATGCTTCTTGCGTTTTAGCTCGTTTGGGATTTGTGGCTTCAGTTGAGGTATTATTTCAGCCTTTCCAATGTTAATCAGCTGCTCCCGATTGTAAACCAAATGAGGGCTAATCAAAGTACAATTACATCATTTGATCAATCGTTTCAGAACATTTATTTTGTCTAGATCAAGATACACACGGTTCTGTAGTTTTATGCCACCAAAGCTTAATTTAACACCTAAAGGCCTGAAACAGCAGCTAGTCACAGATCCTATAGAAACTAGGGCTTTTAGTGATGCCAATACCAGTTAGCTCATACCAGTGCAGTTTCCTGAAAGTGGCTTCACAGTAACTTGTCATTTGTGTTCATCTAATATTTTAGTTTTGTGATACTTTCTATTAATTTCAATTATTTTTTATCTACCTCACCGTCTTTTCCTGTTGAAAGCAGAGAAGAAAATAAAACCTGTATTCCAATTCATTGCATTTTTTTGTGTGGTAGAAGCATTGGTAAACGGTGTCGACGAGTACTCAGATCCAAGTATCGGTATCGTATCAATTTGGAAAAAAGTGGTATCGTTGCATTCCTAATGGAAACCTTTGTGGACTGGGAGAACTTTTGTTGTAATGTGTGTGAAGTTCTTCCTCTCTACAGAACCAGAGGATTTTATATGGTGTGTACTCCTAGAAGAGGGAGCCTGGTCCATCAGCAAGTTCTCTTGAACTCTGCTGTTATTTACACCCTTCCAATGGCCCATCCATATGCCCCCCTCTGTCTGGATGGTGCCTGGATGGAGGGATTTACCCAGGTTGGGCTTTTAAGCCTTGTCCAGACTGGGATCATGGGGCTAGCATAAGGTGTCTCAGAGCATGAAGCTGACAGGTGTGGCATTATGTCTGAAGCACTGTCTCTGTCTCAGGGGGAGCTGCTGGATGGGACTACAGAATATCTGTCAGGCGTAGATGACCTGACAGACAGCGACACGCCACTCTCCAGGAAGAAGATAAGGAAGACTGAAAGTGGTATGTACGCGTGTGACATGTGCGACAAAACATTCCAGAAGACCAGTTCCCTCCTAAGACACAAATATGAGCACACAGGTATATATAACACTTGAACGTCTACCCCCCCCCCCCCCCCCCCATTCCTCATGCAACACACACACTCACACACATACACACACAAACACATATGTACACACGTATGTACACACACACGTACACACACGTACACACACACACACACACGTACACATGTACACACATACACACATATGTACACACACACACGCACACACACAACCTATAGCTTTTCTGTTCTGTTGTTTATTTCCTGGGGGGGGGGGGGGGGGGGTCTAGTGGATATGGAGCTAACTCATCAAACCTGGTCAGAAGGGTGTGATGAAACCCAAGGTGCTGGTGAGTTACATCAGAACTGTTACCTGCTTCTCTCTGTTGCATCAACCCTCAGTGATCCTGAGTCTGAACCCACGGAGTTCATGTTTAATTAATCTGAGAGTGATCCAGAAACCACGTCCTGTCACAGCTGTTGCTGTCTGTTTACATTAACATTTTCTAGTTAGCTTTAATTCAGATTCTGTTCTGAACGCTGATCCAAACCAAGCTGGTGTGCCTGAGCAGAACTTAGCAGAACATTGTTCAGATGGAACCTTCAGGTTCCTGCAGGTCAGTAGCTCTGACTTCAGTTCACTGGGAGGGTCTGTGCCGTGTTGTGGCAGAGGCTCGTCTACGGGTTGAAGCACACCGGCTGCAGTGCGGAACGTTTCAGAACTTTTAGGGTCCTCATTGGATGACCAGTACTGGTTTTCATTTGTGTGTGGGGGTCGTTCAAGATTGAAAAAGTTTTACATACATTTACATTTCAGATGATGTGGCATTTCCCACACATGGTTCATATTGTAATGCTTTTTTTTTGTCCATATTTTTACACGTCGCATTTTCTCCTTTCTTTGAGCGGACTTTCATCTATAAAAATGTAACAACCATTGAATTACTTTGGAAACCAACAGGCCAATGTGCCGCAGTTCTGTTTGTTAGAGCACCTTATTTCTAACCTGATGAGTGCTGCTTGATTCCCACATGGACTAGCACCCACCTGGCCAATGTGGGTAGTTTTTGGGTGGATTCCACTGTGGGGCACCCACAGAGATGAAGTTAATGCACAAGTACAATTAGACTGGCACAGGGCATCCCACAAGGGCCCTGCATGGGATGGATTTGGGCATATCCACCTGTGGGTTGCCATCTAACATGGTTGGGAAAAGTTTATTTCCCTTTTTGCCAGCATACATCTTGCTGATTCTGGTCGTTACTGTGTTCCTGTACAGTAGTTTGTATGATGAGTCAACATGTTTGTTAGCCCCTCATCTTCCACTGTCTTTTGGCCTGCTGTCCATCACCGTCCACTTGGCAAGAACATTCCTCGGCCTCTCGGTCACTGACTTGCTTATTGGCGGGATGTTCTCCTCATGTTTACTGTAGCACAGAGCTTTGCTGTGGCTCGTTAAACTGCACTGGTGCTGGCGAAGCCATTGTTATCACTAGTGAGGCCAAAAGTGACCGATCCGTTAGGATCATCAGCACCAACAACACAAACAGGGAGCTGAATAATGGGAGGACCCAATGATCCATGTGACTTTGATGACCTCATTGGTAAAAGCAATGAACTCAACAGTGACTCCAACTGCCCTATCAGCATGTGTTCCACACCACACCTCACCAGCTTCCGACTCCCAGCCCACATTTCAGAACTGAAGAAGCTTCTTAGATAAGAGGAGAAACGTCTTCAATAAAAACAAGAAAAGTTCATGTTTCCATCTAAGCCTTTAAGATCATCGAGCCGTGGAGGGGTACTTCTGAGTTAAAAAATGCTCATAAATACGTATGTGGAGTAACCAGGTAGGTAGGTTCTAACGTTGCACATCTGCAACGCCTGCCTCCAGAGGGTTAAACGTGAGCTACTTTGGTGGTAAGCAAACTCTATCCGTGTTGCCGTTGGGGCATTTTAGAAAAACAATGTTCATTAGACCAAGAACTCTTATGGGCTCCTCCGTCTTCACTTCTTCTCTGTGACTTAACCCTTCCCACTCCTACAGAAGTTTGAATGCAGAGTCAGTAAAGCTCTAAATAAAAAGCAATAAACAATAAATCTCTAAATGCTGTAGAAAATTGCAGAGGAGCTGCAGGTGCAGCGATTCTAAACAAAACTCATTTTTTACTTTTATTTTCAGAACAACATTTTCATTGAATTGGAATTTTGTGTTTTGTCATTGAAACAAGCTCACTATAGCACCGTGGGAGGTTGCTGTACATTTTCAGGAATAATCTAGCACGTCTCTCTTCAGTCAGTCTCCCAGAAACACTTAAACTCCTCTCTGATGAGCCCTTTTTAAAAACCACACCATGTGGCAAAGCAGCGTAGTACTGCCGCCACGGTGTGTCTTAAGAACGTGATGTGGCGGCATGGTGATTTGGGAATTTTGCGGCATTTGTGTCGCCATGCTTCGTAGTAATATCGCTGCAACACCGGACTTGTGAATGCATATTACGTCTTGGCGCGACAGAGGGAGGTGTCATGATCATGTGGGGAGTTACTGCCGAGCTCCTGTCAGCAACTATATTGAAAAGGAAACTAAACAGCTGCACGAGTTTCACCTTTGAGATGGTTAACTGGAGCAATGCACAGCTCCGTGAGCTCCTCTGCTTCAGAGCTGGAGCTCCGATCACCAGAGGAGGGACTGTGGAGGACAGACATCTTTAGGAACTGATTGTCAAGTAAACTTAACGAGCGTGCTTTAATCACAATAAAACACAAGTTAAGATAAACGGAAATCTGCAGCAACACAGAAACCGCCCCCATACCCCCTTTATACCACCATAACATAATCTTTTGTAAAAATGACACAATTTCACCACATTACTGCCAGGGTCTGGCCTAAGGCTCATTGATGCCCGCTCAGCATTGCAGGAAATTACCAGCATTGTTTTCGGAAAAGGGTAGAATGCCTTCTCCGGGTCAGGGATGAGATCCTGCCCCAATTGGAGGAGTTTAAGTATCTCGGGTCTTGTTCACGAGTGAGGGAAAGCTGGAGTGTGAGATCGATAGGCTGATTGGTGCTGCATCTGCAGTGATGTGGGCGTTGTACCGGTCTGTCGTGGTGAAGAGTGAGCTGAGTCAGAAGGCAAAGCTCTGGATTTACCGGTCGATCTACGTTCCTACCCTCACCTATGGTCATGAGCTTTGGGTAGTGATTGAAGAATGAGATCACTGAACAAGTGGCTGAAATTAGTTTCATCCGCAGGGTGGCAGGGCTCTCCCTTAGAGATAGGGTGAGAAGCTCGGTCATCTGGGAGGGGCTCGTAGTAGATTCGCTGCTCCTCCACATCGAGAGGAGCCAGTTGACGTGGCTCGGGCATTTGGTCAGGATGCCTCCTGGACGCCTCCCTGGTGAGGTTTTCTGGGCACGTCCAACCGGGAGGAGGCATGAAGGTAGACCCAGGACACGTTGGAGGGACTACGTCTCACCTGGCCAGGGAACGCCTTGGGCTTTCCCTGGAGGAGCTGGCCCATGTGGCTGGGGAGAGGGAAGTCTGGGCCTCCCGACTTAGGCTGCTGCCTCCGCGGCCCGGCTCCGGATAAGCGGATGAAAATGGATGGACAAACACATTAATATTTAATGAAGTAAAAATTATAATAACTAGAAATTTCCTATTGAAGAGAAACGAAAATTTATGTTTCTTTGTGTTGGCACTCCCGTTACTTATGCTTTCTGTTTTGCCCCAGTAACGTGATTACAAAAAGCTTGACTCCCACCTCCGTGAGATGGAATTTATTTTCATAAAAAAATTAAAACTCACCTTCCGCGGGTGGTCTCAGCCTTCCAAGCTCAGGTCCTCTATCAGAGGCCTGGGAGTTTGGGGGTTCTCCAGTTCCTAAAACTAGACTGAGACGTTTTTCCTGAGATCTGCTTTAGCCACTCCTCAGGTTTGGGGGTTACGGAGTGCCCCGATGCCCACTGGTACCACCGATGGCTTCACTCTCCAGGCTTTCTCAAGTTCTTCTTTGAGGCCCTGGTACTTCTCTAGTTTCTTGTGTTCCTTTTTCCTGATGTTGCCATCTCTTGGTATAGCCACATCAACAGCTGTCCTCTGTTGTTTGTCCACCACCACAATGGTGGTAGTTCTCCATCACCTGTTTGTCAGTCTGGGTCTGAAAGTCCCACAGGATCTTGGCTCTCTCGTTCTCTACTCCATTAGTGGGTGTTTCCTACTTTGACCCTGGAGCTTCCAGTCCATACTCTGCACAGATATTTCTGTACACAATGCCACCCAAGATCCCCGTTGTCTGCAGCCATCATGATGTCACTGGATATTTTAAGCAAAGCTGTTTCTGTTGAATGCTTTTTATGAAATCCAGATTGGAACGGGCCAATTTGGCCAAACATCCTGATGGGGGTAGGAAGTAGATGGGGGTGATATTTCTGATTGTATTCTCAAAGAATGATAGAAAGTTGTTACAGTCAGACCTTGAGTAAACTGGCATAATAGGGGCGTGGGGTGAAACAGTCTGGTGTATGGTGTCAAACAGGTTTAGAGTTATTTTTGTTTACAGCAATCAGCTGAGCAAAGTCAGCGGCCCTAGAACTTTTCACCGTCTCATTAAAAAATGTTATCAGTTCATTAAAGTGCAGCCTGTGACTTTCTAATCTAGTGGACTTCCAACATCTCTCAGCTCTGCAGTGTGTCCTTCTGAGACATGATTTAGATGTTCTCTCTCCCTACCAGAAGTCAGTTGTCACCAGCCTGGGGGTGAGGCTGGATGCAGAAGTCAAACTGGAAGCTCACATCAACATGGTAGTACGAACCTGCTTCGTTAACTTGCGACGGCTAACCCAAACCAAGCCTATGCTGTTGAGCGCATATGGAGTCTGCTCCATACATTTGTTTTATCCAGGCTCGATTATTGTAATGCTTTCTATGTTGAGCTAAGCCAGGCAGCGCTGAGACGTCTACAGTTGCTTTAGAACTCTGTAGCCAGACTTCTGACAGGGACGAGGAAGTCGGCACACATCGCTCCTGTGCTGACCTCATTACGTTGGCTCCCTGTGGATTTTCGGGCAGAGTTTAAAGTTCTGTGTTATGTCTTCTGGTCTCTTTATGGTGGTGCTCCACCTTACTACAGCACTAATAAAAAGACATACCTCATCACGAACTCTACGCTTGGCTAAAGAGGACCTTCTGACTGTCCAGCAGACGAGGTACAGGTCTAGAGGAGATTGGACTTTCTCAGTCTAGGCTCCTTCTCTCTGGAATGAGCTTCCATTTGATATTAAACTGTCACCATCACTGCAGGTCTTCAATAGTTGTTTGAAGACAAATTTTTGCCGTTTGGTGTTTATGTAATCTGGTTTTATGCAGCTTTTGCACTTTGTACGTTGCTCTTGTGTCTGTATGTTGCTTTTAGCTCCTTTTTATTGCTCTTTGTGTTTTTGGTGTATTTTGTGTTCAGCGCCTTGGGCTCCTGCAAAGGCAGTGGAAGATAGCCTGGAAAGCCAGACTAAATAAATATATTATTTAGTCTGGCAATGCTCCATTGACAGCTCTCGGTTGTGGGGCGGGTTCTACCGTTGTCTTTCAAATGACCTCCACATGCTACTAGACAGTGAATGTGACATACTCACCGCAGCGGCTATCGGTAAATGAGGCGGTCTGCAGTTGAAGAAGGAGAAAACACCTAATTTTTTCTAAAAAAAAAAAAAAAGCAGTTAAATACATCTATCTGGTCCTGATTCTAATGAAGCCAAAGCTCTAATAGTCCAACATTGATGTAAAAGCCATTTCAAACGAGCTGTCGCCATCTTGTTCACTCTGTTGCATCATCCCACCCACCAGGCATATAGAGTGCCCTGATTGGCCCACAAAGCGGATAAAGCTCTGTGATTTGTTCACCAAGCAGATAGAGCACTATGATTGGCCCACCATTATGGACCAATCACAGCTTTTTATGTGTCTGAATATCCTCTAGAGAGCTGTGATTGGCCAGCCAGAATGCTGTAGGGGCTGCAGAGGTTCCAGTGGAGCGTTCCTAGACCAAACTTTGCAAAGCAAGAATTTGGTCTCGTTCACTAGGCTAAGTGGAAGGCACTTAATAAATAAAAATTGATTGATTGATTCTGAGACTGTAAATGTTTTGATAAGGACTTTTCCTCTTGTTTAATAAAACATGGGTACACACGTCCTGAGCTACTGACTGCTCAGTAGAACCCAACTGGAAACTTTTTTGCAGAGAAACGAGCGATTAGATCTGGTGGATGAAACATGATACGGGTGTATTCTGATTCTGATTGGTCCAGATGTTGGACCTGTTGTACATAAATAGGACCAGGATTTTGGAAGGGTTTCAATTGGTTTTGTAGTAAGTCTTTCTGATAAATGTTTGGTTGTTGCTCACATGCTAAAATAAAGTTTGTAGATGTTTCTCAGCCTGCTGTCTGGTTTCTGCTCCATTCCTCTCCTCTTCTTGCCCTTCTGTGGCTTTGGGTCTCCTGTCTATTATGACCATTTCCTGCTCTCCATGTGTGTCTCCAGGTAAACGTCCACATCAGTGCCAGATTTGTAAGAAGGCCTTCAAGCACAAACACCACCTGATTGAGCACTCACGCCTGCACTCTGGAGAAAAGCCCTATCAGTGTGACAAGTGTGGCAAGCGCTTCTCACACTCAGGCTCGTACTCTCAGCACATGAACCACCGATATTCATACTGCAAGAGGGAGGCTGAGGAGCGAGAGGCTGCCCAGAGGGAGGCAAGGAACCAGAGAGGGCTGGAGCCCACAGAGCTGCTGCTGGGAGGGGGCTTCCTACAGGACCTGGGATCCCTGGGATACTCAGACACTGAAGACCAGATGGAGGACAATACCATCCTGGGGGACAGCGGAGATGGGGGAGGGGGACAGGAGAGGGGGGAGGTGAAGGAGGGAGTGACAGATCAACAGCAAAGTGACAACAGGAGCCACTTTGTGATGGACATGAAGGACAAAGACTCTATGCAGCAAATGGAAGAATGTCCACCAGACAGCATGCTGGACTAGGACACCTGATGGATACAGAACCGGGTCAGATCAGTCCAGTTCTGCTCATTCATTGACTGGAAGATAGAAGTCAGAGCAAATCAGTATGTCAAATATGAAGTGTGTGTCCACCTGCTGGATAATGTGCTATCTTACCCCCCCCCCCCCCCCCCCCAACACAACAAAAGGCATTAACACACACAATTCTACTACACAAAGGACAAGCATGTGTGTGTGTGTGTGGGGGGGGGGGGGATGGGGGATGGGGGGGGGGGGCTTGTTTTCTGTGACTCAGGACTACAAAACTCCTCAGAACACATAGATGTTCTACGGAGCAGCATGTGGTCATGAGAACCATCAGGTCTCATGTTGTAATTCAGGGGCAAAATATTTCTCAAGAGCCACAATATTAGGATTTTTTTTTTAACCTTTGATAAACCAAATTTATTTTTTATGGTGATTATTTTTGTTTTTAATGACCCAAAATATGCCTCATAGCAGTAAAAACCCATACATAAATGTTAAACCTAAAACAGAAATGCAATTAGCACAAATGGCCCTTGGGTCATAGTTTGGAAATGCGTGTACTACATTCACACCAGTTGCTGTATCCAGGATAACGAAGTACAAAATGTCTGGAGGGTTAGTTCTCGTTGGGATCTGTAAGAAACTTCTTTAATTTCTCTGGCTTCAGCTGGAAAGTGTGTTTAACTATTTGAAGACTAGAAAGCTCCAAAGTGTTTTAGTTTCACTGTTACCCTGTTGACTACAGCTGATGCTACTAAGAAGCAGCAAACACCGCTAGCAGCTAACTCAAGCTAGCAGCAAACACCGCTAGCAGCTAACTCAAGCTAGCAGCAAACAGTGCTAGCAGCTAACTCAAGCTAGCAGCTAACGGCATAGGGAGCCAAACGCTTGGATCACATCAGACTCAGAAGCGTGACGATGTGCCATGAATTAGAGAGCGCTTCTATTCATTCCCCTAAATAACCTATCGCTGGACTAGAGAGATGAAAATAATTACACACACACACACACACGTGAGCAGAAGTGCCCATCAAACATTCTCACCTGAACAGGGGAGCAGCGGGCAGCGTGTGAATTTCGTGAGCGATGTGAACCCGGCGTAAGGATGTTTCACATCTGGGCCGGCACTGACCGTACTGGGTAGCTTTTAAAGTGTCTAGGTAGCCTTGTATTTATCTGTGCTCAACCAGTCCGTTTTTCAGCCCACATACCAAGGCGGTCTGCTTCGGGCTGAACTGGTCCAACACACCCACTGCTAACTGATTGGCCGCCTCAAATACACATAGACATTGCAGCGATCTGCACAACTTCCTCTGTCCCTCTGCAGCAAAACGCTACTGAACCATCCTTATCGGTTAAAAATGTGAGATTTCCACCAACAGCAAAGGGATCTCATGTTTTTGTGTTTTGTTTTTTATGTTCGTGATCTCATCTCATCTTACTCTCACAGATCACAGAATTACGGTTTTCACAATTTATCTGATGGTCTAAAAACGTTGTTTACTTATTTTTGTACAACCCCTGTTTAACTTGGGCTATTAACAAAAATAATAGTGTGTAGTTTATGATCTGGATTTTAAACATGAATTGAAACTGAAGCTCAGAGAGGCGGAGTCTTGCTGCTGCGGCGTCCCAAAGGTGTATTTTGTTTGGTTGGTTGCAGACAGGACTCGTAGGTTTTCAAGCATGCTTGTAGACTGTCGGAGGCTGATTTGGGTCGTGAGACTGCTCAAAAAGCTGTTGCAGAGCTGGTCAGACTAGACAACCACAGGTTTGCAAATCACCCTCACTTTCATCTTTTTTTTTTACACAGTTCTGCTCCCGGTGAGGGATTTGGCAAAGACGGCCGAAAATCGCACAGTGTGGACCCACGGTCCAGAAGTAGATGGGTGTGACTTAAGCTCCCTGTTCCCTTATAGGTCACCTGATGAGGATTCAGGATTGATTAAGTAAAATTCCATCCCTTTGATGCTCAGGAGGTGTAATGTGACCCTAATCAGAACCCTGACTCATTCACATTCATTCACCCTAGAACTCTAGTAGAAACCATCCCATGAAGCCTTGACTAGGCCCCATTAGGACTAGCTACAGACCTGCTGTCCTGGTTGCGGTACACTGAAGATGTTAAGAGCTCTGGATGTACAAGAACAAACTAGATTTATGCAGGTGGTTAATTGTGACCTCATGTTTGTCTTTATCCCTCCTGTGCTGATGAAATCTGTCCAACACTGATGTTGTCTACCACACACCTAATACTAGCTGTTTGCTAGTACATTAGCTTGGATAACTAACTCTTTGACATAATAATAATAATTATTTTTTACCAAATTATTTTAGTTTTAGATCAGAGCTGACAAACTAAACCTGATAGATCAAAGGTCACAGAGGTCAGGGGTTGATTATCTTCTGAGTGAGGGATACACTGAGGTCTGGCAAACAAGCCAAGAGCTGGAAGAACAGGGTCAGAACCTACATGGAAATGAGAATAATAATTAAATCTATTATAGCAAATCTACAGGACAAGCTAGCTTTTGAACATGAACACAGTCATGGAAAACTCACTCACGACCGCCTCCACTGGTACTGGAGACCTGCGATGCCGGAGGAAGCAAGATAGCGCTAAACACCAGTCTCTGTTTTCTATATCCAAACATCTTTTGTTGTCCCTGACTTACGATGGTGATTTTCTCTTTGGGACTCTGGTAGTTTGTCCTAAAGCTGAAGTGGTAGCAGCCGGCTATTTCTTCTTCTCTGATGTTATTGAGCGGAGAATCTCTCACAGCTGTGGTGTTCTGTTGCTGAATACGTGAGTGTGTGACGGGTGGAGGACCCAGGGAAATGCGGCAGTTCGGTGAGACCAGTGATCCGATGGTTGGTTTTAGTCGGAAACGTGTTAATGGTGGAGGTTTTTTGGACATAAGCAAGAGAACCACTTAATTTATTTTCATTTTTTTCAGTGTCCATATTCATACGATGTTAGAACGTTTAGAGGCATGAACAGTTTTTTAAGCTAATTTGTTTTCTAAATTTACCATTGGAGCTTTAATAGTATTTAAAGAGCAAGTCACCCCCTGCCAGATTCTTACACAACTCCAACTTCCTGTTTGAAAAATACAACAAATGCTGTTGCCTAGCAGACCGAGAGGGCGGAGCCTCTAACAAATACACACACTCACGACATTGTGACATCATAATCTACCATCTAACATCATAGTGTACCTCTTAGCCAATAGCGATGGCAGATTTAAAGTCAAATGCAGTGCTGAGTTTTTGCCTGACGACGGTGCATCGCTGACAGTTTTAAGCATAATATTTAAATTTTAACTAAGATGCACTAAAGTGCCGAATTATTGACTACACGTGTCTGCAGCACGATTGGACACTCATTTATATAGTTTATCAGCAAAAAAATGGTGATTTGGAGTGACTTGCTCTTTAATAACTGGAACATTTTTGTGGTGAACAGTGTTATTAAGTAGCCCTGGGCCCTCATTTATCACCCGTACTCACGAGCAGATCTGTGCGTATTTCGTGCGTGGGAATTTTTTTATGTATTTTATGGTATTTGTACTTGTACGTAAAAATGTTCAGAACAGTTCTGACTATGCGTAGGAACAGCATCTAGTGGTAGAACAGAGGAACAGCAATTCTGAAGGTTTCAGTCGTCCACGTGTGTTCCTCATCCACAAATTATATTTACCCAGTATGTAATTCTGTCGGTAGAAAAACAGCTTTTGTGCATATTTGGTGCTAAAACCAATAAAAGTCAGATGACCAATGGGAATCTGACATGTCATGGCTGATCTGTGGTATTTGAGGATTCAACACAGCGTGCACATGGGAGGGAGAAATCCTTCTGCTATGCTGGGATTGGGACCCTTTGTGGCGCGACAGACAAACCTCACAAATCTGATTCCAGTTCATATTTTATTTTACAACTAGAGAACCCCGCAGAACCTCCTCTGCTCCCCGGTCACACACACAACCAGACTGAATGGCAGCTCAGACAACATTTACAAATGAAACAACTCCTAACAGATGGCTCCTTAAATGTGAACGAGAACCCGTTACTCTACCATTCATCAAATCCATTTTTATTTATTTCTGACAGGAACCTCTCCTCTGTACCGACCGTGTTTATAACCTCTGCTACTTGTTTTTGTTTTGTTTTTGGTTTTTTTGCTCTTGGCAGTCAGTGTTTCAGTCTCATTGTTAATAAAGGTTTTCTTCTTTTTTCTGGGAAATGACAGGGAATCCCCTCAGGTGCTGAGGACGTAGCGTGACCAAATATGGTTAATTAAGGGCGTTTCTGTATGTAAATGACTGAGAATGGACACGAGCACCTGGGTAGCAGGTGGGCTTTATCACCAGGCGGCTGCAGAGGAGCGTGCGAACGAGAGGCCACTGCATGTTTCATACACCAGACTTTTGACTATTCGTACGGAGATTCAAAATTTCGGTCTTAGGAGGGAATATAGGTCAGTTTCTATGAATGTTTGATAAATGAGGGCCCTGAAATCCTCGATTCCTCATGAAACAAAACAGATTTTATAGAAATGAAAAAAGAAATGAAATGAATCAAGGAGCACTTGAGCACATTGTCTTATAATTGGGCGTTGTATCCTGTGATTGGTTTTTGTGACAGGGTTTGTCTTTTGGTTTTGGTTCTGAGTGTTCTGATGAAGGACCCGGACCCTGATCTTGACTCGGTCATTTAAACAAAATCTCTTTGTGAGTCTGGACTTAGGAAGAGAGATCTCCAATGGTTCTTAGACTAACAAGGTCCTATGCACACCTTTACCTAGGACTTCCTGAAGTGCCATTCCCTTCAGTCTCACCTGCCCTCAGTCATCCTTCGTCTTGGCATTGACCCAGGGTCATCATTATTAATATTGTTTGTTTACAGCTGTTGTGCAATGTGTTTGATGTCCATGACAGTGTTTTTGTCACTATTAACTGAGCCTCTCGTTCTAAATGAAATTTAGATTTTATTTATGTGACAGATTTTTTTTTATTTCAAACTAGCGAACAAAACGTAAGTTCCTCCGAGATGTGGTAGTCAAATATGTCTGATGGAACAAATGTGGAAGTCCCTGATGTCTCAAACTTCTCTGATGACCAATGTCTCTGACATCTCTGTTTTCTG